CTTATTAGGTTTTCCACCAGCAAGGTCTTAAAACATTCCACGAATCACCTTTTACGTAACACAGATTTTAACTTTCTGTAAAAAAAAAAAGGTTATCTAAAAGGAACCAATATCCACCTGGAAGACATACCAACATCAGTCCAGTTTTCTTATTTGGGTTGGGAGGTTTTGAGTAGTGGGGAGATTTTTTTTGCACACAGGGGACTTTGAAAATAGTTTCATTTATATGATTCTGTAAGTGTGGATTTGAGAGATTTGAGAGAGTTGTTTAATTAATTACTGGATCATTTATTTGATTTAAGAGCTTATGGCTCACAAATTTCTCCCCCGTTTTACTTGACGTGATCTCCCTGAAAGACTCAGAAGGATAGCATCCGTCCCTGTAACAACAGGGCGATACCCATGGTTGTTAAATGCCATTTGTGTTTACAACAGTTTTTGGTGAAGGTAAAACAAAATAAAATGGACATACGTATTTATGCATACACACACAAAAACACAGAACCAAACATCCAGAATGGTCCTTAGGCATGCATTATGGTTTAAACAAGTTCTGATTCAGTAATAACTAAGTAGAACTTCCAATATTTAGAAAAGCTATTTTGTAACGCAGAGGAAATAATATACCATGGTATCAAATGTTCTTTCCTGATAAATGAAGCAACTACTGAACGCTTTATTTGTTCAAAGTAACCAGTGCTGTTTACACAACAACAAAATAACCCCAACAACTCCCCCAGTACTACTCCAAAAAAGCATATCAAACTTGATTTCCATTAGAATGTAGTTATTCTTCTCACTAATAATTCAAAACAGAAACAAAAAAACCCAAGACCCAAATTATATATATATATATATATAAAAAGCAATGCAAACAATTACTGAGCTTGGTCTTCTGGACAAGGATGCCAAGTGAGTCTCTCTTCATAAAACGCAATGACAACCTGGGGGCATTTCATGTGTGCCTCTTGTGCCAGCACCAAGTCTGCCTCATCTGACTCTTTCCACTTCCTGAGAAACAGCAATTCCCCACTGCTGTCTGTAGCCCCAATTATTCGTTCAGGATCAAGACCTCTGGCAAAGCCCCTTGGTTTGTCAGAAGCATCTCTTTTCTTTGCTGTCGTCAGATTCACTGTCAGATAAAGACTTTCTTTTCGCACCATCTTTTTCTTTACCGGCTTTTGGAGAGTTGAGAAATGCTTCAATGAATTCTGGACAATCTAAATTTTCCTCAGGTTCCCAAGTATTATTAGCATCTGTAAATCCCTTCCATTTTAAGAAATATTCCACCTTCCCATTCACAACACACTGGTCCAGTACTTTTTCTGCCACAAATTCTTCAAGTTCAGCCTTTTCGACTTTGTTACTCTTTCCATTCTGTTTCTTTCCCATTTTTTGCAATGTCGTTTTATTGGAGGCTATTTTTATTGCAGACTTGAAGAGCTATTATCCACCACCTCCGAGCTGCTCCGGGTCACAGGTCTGCAGCGTCACGGGCTGTTCTTTTTTTTCAATCGTTTTATTAGGGGCTCATACAACTGTTATCACAATCCATACATG